GTCCTATTTTTAAACCTTGACAAGCAGGACAGCTGCAGAAGTGGCTAATTCACACCCAACACAGAGGACTTTGTTATTCACAAAGTACCAGCCACCAGGAAAGGGCAATCAGATATATGCCTCTGGGAAGGAGACTTTACAAATGCATAGATGCAGAGCCACTGATGTTTATTTGCGGGGGGGTGGGGCAGGAATCAATGATGTTTTGTGGTTTAGTTGAGATCAGGGGCTGGCCTACTCTCTTGCTAATTGTGTTTTAATTTATTGGGCATGTTCTTACAGAAGGGATTAAAAACTTACACGCCTTCTTAAAATTGGTATGAAATATTGCACATCATCAATATAAAAAAACCAAGGTCTGTTCATAAATGTAGGCTTTCATTCCTCAATATGTAGACTCTTCACGCTGCTGGTAACTGGCTTTGAAGATGTCAAGGGCACATCTCAAACTGCCCATAGCTGGCTTGTGCTCTGATCTATCTCGTCCTGTGAAGTCTTAAAAGAAGGGTTTATTTAGGAAACCTGAATAAAGAAATAATGTCATTGGCAATTAGGAGAAGCAGATTAGCTTTCCATGAATGAATTTTGGATCACAGCAACATTTCACATCTTTCATAAGCTAGTAACACAATTCCCCAGTCAATGTAAGCAAGTGAAGCTTTGCCTGGAGTGCAAATAAATAGACAAAACCACTTTTTTCAGTCTTAAACATGGGGCAATTTGCTTTACCTCTGTAAATATTTATCCTTCTGCTTTGTGTTGTTATTTATATATCTTTTCCTCTGCTCTTTTGTATTTAAAGTGGTCTTTTTTGGTCCTACAGTTGCATTTTCTTTGCTTCATTTTATTCTATCTTTACTGTCACTGTGATTGTTTTAACTTGTTTTTATCTTGTAAACCACCCAGAGAACTTCCATGACAGAGTGTCCTATGAACAGTACAAATAGATAAATAATATCCCTTGAAGCACCCATGTTAAATCTACATTTCCCTATTTCATACACATTTACCTGCAGTACAGTGAACAGGGATCTGTCATCATTTTCACCCTTGTAGTCTAGCAAGCAAAGAACTAGATTAGTTAACTAAAACCACAGCATAATTCAGCAAGATTTCAATAGCTGGCCAGACCAAAGAACTCAAACCAAAACGGCATCCAGCGAGTAGCTAAATGCAAATATATACAAACAGTATATTTCCCCCCATTTTCCTCTAATCTCACTAGAGTGATTTCCAAAATTGAGCCTATGTTTTCATTGTGGGTTTTTGTTTTGTTTTGTTTTGTTTTGTTTTGGCAGTCACTTCAAATACCTCTTTAACAGTGCTACCTCCCAAATTATTGTCCATGTGTTTTCCACTCAGTGGCAAAGTCTGAGAAAGATGCACATTAATTCATAATTAAATAACACAGCTAGCCTTTTAACAGGCAAACTGAACAGTCGGTATAAGCAATCATTGCATTTGTATATTGTCCTGGAAGCTGCACCTAATACAAAATGCAGTGGCTCAACTGTGTCTTTCTTTTCATTTCTTCTTTTTTGCAGCAATGTCACAGCACTCCTGAAAAAATTGCACTGGCTGCCAATTAGCTAGCTAAGATTAAGGACCTGGTGCAGAAAGCTCTATATTACTGTAAATGGCTATTGTGTTGTTTAATTATGTTGTCCTTGTATTCCAAACTCTCTATGCTGTTTTTAATTATCATAATCATGATGTACGGTCAGTAATTCCACTAGACTGAACTTAGTTTATTCATATGGCCAATGTGACATGTGTGTGTCCAAAAAAGAATCTAAAACCAAAACACGCTGATGACAAAAACAACTAAAGCTTCTTATACCGTGTCTGCTCATCTGTCGCTTGTTGATTGCATTTCTATCACACTTTATAAGTTCTCAAAACACCTTGCAGCAATACCTCATATAGTCTGGTACCTTTTCCTTTTAATTAATTTTTCATTAGCAGATTTAACAATGGTGAAAAGAAAATGAAAAAAAAGCAAAGGAGAGGGAATAAATAATGTCATCAGTTCAAATTAAGGATACCAGAACTTTCATCTTAAATTAAACATGTAAGTTGATACAAGCCACCCAGATGGTGGACATGGGTATCCACCTGAGATTGACATTTATAGGAAATATGTTCTAATGTAGCAAGGACAGTGAGGTCCTCAGACCATCGTGTAACAGACAGTGCAGTGCTTATCTTTCCATGCTCGAAGTTGGGGTTGCCATATGTCCAGGAAAACCCGGACATGCCCTCTTTTTGGGGCCAACATGCCCATCTGGGCAGATTTTTACAATTTAAAGGAAATTTCTGGGTTTTTTGTGCTGGGGCTGCCAGGGAAAGAGGTGCGTCAGCAACCCTGTGCAGCCACACACCCCTTTCCCCAGCTCAGACTGGCAGTGGCTCAGGCTGTTTTCTTTTTGCTCTTTAAGATAGGGTAACCCTATCAAAGTACAAGTCTGTTAGGGAGCCCAAGGGCTTGTAAAATCCACCTTAGTCCACTACTAGCTTCCACTGCTCTCTTTGATGTTACCAGTAGGGAGGCAAATGCTGAACTAGGAATGGACATGGAGTGCAGAATGAACTCACAAAAATCCGTACTTATTGACAGATCTTGAAGGCAGGGGTGAAATCTATATGTCTTGACACCCCATTTTTTGGCAAATCATCTCCCACTATTGCAGTCTTGAACCTGGCCCACAAAACCCAGGTCAGAGCTCTTGTTGGTTCAGATGGTGCCAGAAAGTCTAGGAGTTAAAACCTTGCCCATAGAAGCTATTGCCTCTCCTGTCATCCCACCCAATCAGAGCCAGGAGAATCTCAGGCTGTACACCAAACACCTTTAAGATCCCAAGAATCAAGAGTTCCAAGTACCATTCTCTGCCTCTGAGGTTTCAAGCAGAAAACCAAATTATACAGTAGCAGGTTAGATCAAGAAGGCCAAGGGACTGGTTTAGTACTGAGGCTTAATCCAAGGAAACATCAGAATGGAAACAGAGGTTTTATTAACAATAAACAGGATAGCAGCATAGAATGGAACCTGTTTACCAGTAGGAGAACAGAACAGGAAAATATGGTTAAGGATGCAAGCTAACCCAGTCTAATACATTGTTAACCATTAAAGACCTGACAAAAGGTACCAATGAGGAAGGTATGGAACAAAAGGTGAATATGGGTAACTTTGTGGCTCAGCAACCAGCGCAGGTCTTCAACAACTAGTCATCTAGACTGTAACTTTCCAGAACAGAGAGTCTCTGAGTGTACATGTGACTACAAAGCTGTGGAATTTTCCCAACTAGCTAACTGGCCATCTTCAGCCAAGACAAAACAACACACAGGTGCAAGTCATGAGAGCACTTGGCAATTAGCCAAGCAAGAAGCAGCTTCCTCATGAGCTCAGCTCTTTACCCAGAAGTCTAAGCTCCCATTAGAACCATCCTTGGAGGGCAAGGCCTAGCAGAAGAACTAGGCCTCTTGGCAACTGCCTTCTCAAAAGCCAGCACCACAGGTAAGGGGGCTTGATTCCATCTTTGCACCTCCTAGTTTGCAGAGGGCAGTCCTCTTTTCCATGGGCTGTCCAGACCGAGTCTGATTTAATGATAAAAGACCATTAGGAAGGGAGAGCAGGATGGGCATTGAACTTGCCTACTGGCAGTTAGCAACTGGAAAGCAAGACAGAGCAGGCAAGCAAGCAGGTCGCTTTCCCCCACTATAATGAGATGCATTCTATTTTTATTTAAATTGCCATGATTATTTCTCAATGTGCATTTAAATTAGCATCTCCAAATTTTGAACAAACCTCAGGCCTCTTATGCATTTCTGCTGCAGGTCTGATGATTGCAAAATGAAGGTTCTGCAGAGATATTTAAAATGCAGGGATATCCAGAACATTCGATTTACTGGGCTATTTTATGCATGTCTTGGTAGAAGTCTCCTTGAGTTCAATGGCACTTATTCCCACTAAAGCACACCTAGGACTGCAGTCTCAGCCCATCATTTTGGGTCTCTTATTCAAAGAATTTACCATGAATGGCTTATGCATGCAGTTTTCTCTCTGGTCCCACCCCCCTTCCCTTGCATTCATTATGAAACAGATGGGGGGGGGATGTTACCATTATCTAGGCACGTAACTCCTATCGACTCCCCCCCCCCATTTTCAGTTTCTGAGCGATAGCAGGTAAATACGAAAAACTGTATAAAACTGCATCGTTTTGGGAGAGTTGTTTTTGTTTTTTGCTGCGTGGTCCTCAGGTGGCCAACTCAGCAACTAATCACCATTCAAGCTTCTGGTGTGTCGCCTGCTGTGTAAGAAGAATTCAGCGGACGTGAGATTCATTCATTGATTCATTCATTCATTCATTGAAGCCGGGGTGTGGGGGAGTGGATCTTAAAGGGAGAGGAGGCGAGAAAGCGAAGCTGGGGAAATACGGGCAGAGCGAATAAAGACATTTAAGCGAAGGTGCCAGGCGAGGAAAAAAAGACCATTGGGGGAAGGCAGTTAAAAGTATGCTCCATTGACAACTGCGCACAGGGAAGAGTTAACCGCATCCTCCTGGTTAAGTTTACATGTAAATAGAGAGCAGCTGCTCCGCTCCGGCTGGCCCACTCGTGCCTTTGATTGGCTGCCAATGACATCACTCCCTCCGCTGCTTCTGACACAGGACCCGAAGCAGTGGCGGGCGAGCCATCCCTAGAGTTGAGTGGCTCCTCCCCCTTGCCCACCCGCCGCCAATCCCGGGCATCCCCGCGAGGGGGGGCTCGAGCAGCTCCTCCCGGAGAGCCCCTATTGGGGGAGCGCGCTGTCTATCCCTCCCCCGGCCACGCCCTTTTCGAACCTTACATTTACTGTGTAGCAAAAGAGAAAGTAAGTATGTTGCTGGTGGAGATCAATGAAGCCGAGTGAATGGGGGCTTAATGCGTAAATCGATAGCCACAGACGAGCGCCGGGTGCTGGAGGGAAATATTTCTTTATGAAGTAAGTGGGAGACTTGGGTTCCTTACGGAGAGGAGCGGTTGTGGTGCGTAGGTCGACCGCGTAGCGTCTCCTAGAATAAATCTGCCCTATCTTGGGGAAGAGAGAGAGATGCCTGTTTGGAAACAAACTGGGAAATGCGAAAAAATGTTGGGGAGCAACGGGAAATAAGGTACTACTACTAGCACTGTTATCCGTCCCCGCGCCGGTCTGCGCTTGGAGCCCGCCGACTTGTGTGCGTTTCACCGACTGGATTGTAAGAAACGGAGGCTTTTCTCGTCCGGGATTGCTGCAGTATCTAGGGGGGTAGGGGGGGGATCGGAGTGCAGACGAGGCTCTCCGGAGCAGCATCTCTTGTAGCGCTTCTCTTCCTCCCCCCTCCTTTTTACGCCTGTTCTGTAAAACGCCTCCCCCCTCCGTGAGGTCCTGAACCAGCTCCGGATCGGTGAGCGTGAAAAGGTGCCTCATTTTGGCTGGGCTCTTTTAACTCCCAAGTCTGACTTCATGGCTTGGCTGGAAATATATTAACTCTGCTGCAGAGATGCAGAGCTCCCCAAATATCTTTGCCATCCTAAGGCAAACAGGGTTCCATTAGCCGCTCTCCAAATACTTTATTAGTTTCTTTTTTAAAAAAATAAATCCAAACATTAAAAAACCAAACTCAAACATAACGTTACTGGTCTCGCACGTGATTTGGTTACTAAACTAACCCCTTGTTTTCTCTTTTTGTAAAAAAGAAAAAGGGTACTATTTCCCTTCTCCCGATCTTTGCTTCTCTTATTTCTCAGGAATGCATGGTGTTGTGTTGTTTTTCTCTGTACAATTATTTGTTGTTCTTCACAAATAGAAGGTGGGGAAAGGAAACTTGTTTTCTGTATTTTACATTTCCTCTCCCTTTATTTAATTCATTTTTTTCTGACTCCCCATAGTTGATAAATGGTATTTCCTCTGGTCACAATTTAAACCCATTCTGCAAATACTTCTCTCTCTCTCTCTCTCTCTCTCTCCATTCCTCCTCAGGAGGAGATAGATGGGGTTTTTATGTTTTCTGGTTTCTTATCCTAGGATAGTGACCCATCCTAATGGAAAGTGTGTGTATTGTGGTTTTGAGGGGGGTAGGACATACCGTAGTTAGATTATAGAAACAGATAGTAGAATGTAGGGAAGGGAATTCACATTTTTAAAAAGTGTTCTTTAATTGGGTTAAATTGTGTAGGTTGTTCTTTGACTGGAGGCACCACACGTTTCCACATGACTGTCCTTAATTTTGTGTCATCCTGTACTTCGTCCAGTTTAAGCAAGCTTAGTAAAAAAAACACCACCATCCCTTTTTGAGTCAAATGGGAGTTCTTGATAAGTATGCTTACCCTTTCAGCCTTAAAAGATACTGAGAGGGTGATGTAATAACCTTTTTTAAAAAGTGAGTGTCATTTGACTGACCTCAATTGGACTCTGCCAAATGTCAACGTAATTGGTCATTAAATGAATGCTATAAAACCAATATATATTATGAACTTGCTTGGGGGTGGGAGTTGCAGGGAACTCTGATTTTAGGACAGTGGATCATCTCAGTCTGTCCCTCCTTGTGTTATGGTAGTGATAACTAAGGTATAAGAGCAGGAAGGTTGGGACCTGAATTCTTTGATATTCCAGGCCTGTCATTTTATGAGAGTGTGCTTGTATCTGAATAAATGGCAGTTCCAGAATAGCAGTTCTGCTCATAAGGGATGCATGGCAGCCTCTGTTTCTTATCTCTCATTTCTTTTCAGTATGTGTTCAGATTACTGCCGAACTTCCCCCCCCACCCCCTTTTGGTGGATTTTTACAGGAAGCCAACAATATTGAAAACTGTGTGCTAGGAGGGAGTTAGAACATCACCTCAGGCCAGATTTGGCTGCCCTGCATTATTGATAATTGTTAACATCACACTGGTCGCTTCTGTCTATTTTTAATTTGCAGAAGGGAGGATAAAGTAGGGGCAGGTTCTTTTCCACAATGAGCTTGCTTCCCTTGGAGCAAGAAAGCCTTGGGTACATGATGGTAGCTGCTCTGCAAGTACCTTTTGGTGTCTGGCCTATGTAATGTGGACTATTTAGGTTAGTCTTCATCGGGCCTGAATATTCTCAAAACATAGATAAAACATCAACATTTTGCACCAAGTTAACCTAATTTCTGCAGCAGCAGAAGAAAATGATTCAATGTGCATATCAATTAAAATTTGCATAAATTATGCCAATTAAGATTTGCACAATCTCCCATTTTTTCCATTATTTATTATATCATCTTTTACCACTTTTCCAAATCCTGCCCTCCCTACAGGGTGCAGAAGCCCTCTACTCTCTGGGAGGCTTATTTAGCAACTTCTCTGCTTTTTTTGCTAACTGACCACTTATAGCCCTTAATATATTTTTTAGCAATTATAAGGACTATAAAATAGCTTTTTAATGTAAGTGCAGGCTGAGATGCTGCAGCTGAATTCTGTTAGTGACCAGCACGCATTTATTGTGCACCCCCACAACTGCAGCAGACTCGCAGTCCTGGGTTGGAGGCAGCCAATGTGTGGCAGTTTCTGCCATGGCATAAAGGTTGGGATGGATAATTTCCCAACTTCTTACAGTTTTATGATTCCATGTTTGGTGGCTGTGTGCCTTTTAGAATGGCTCTCCCCTTGTTCTATGAAAAACAAAGCATTTGATCAACAATATTTAGAGCATTGCTATCCGGGAATAATGATGGAACTCTTGTGTGTTGCGACATACTTTCTTATTGTCATTTTATTTCCCTCCCCCTTTTAACAGAGAGCTTGAGTTCCTTTTGACTTGCCATTCTCAGCTTCCTCATGCCTCCATCTCCACTAGACGACAGGGTAGTAGTGGCACTCTCCAGGCCCGTCCGACCTCAGGATCTCAACCTTTGCTTAGATTCCAGCTATCTGGATTCTGCCTCTTCTGCCAGCGAGAGCCACGTGAGTCTCCTCAGCACAGCTGTTGTGTCCCTCAAGGCTGCGAATCTGACGTATATGCCCTCATCCAACGGCTCTGCTCGCTCCTTGAGTTGTGGATGCAGCAGTGCCAGTTGCTGCACTGTGGCAACGTACGACAAAGACAATCAGGCCCAGACTCAAGCCAGCACCAGCAGCACTTCTGCCAACGTAGGAACCTCGACCACGTGCCCTGCTAACCAAATGGTCAACAACAATGAGAACTCTGGCCCGTTGAGTCCCTCCAGCGGCGTGGGGAGCCCTGTCTCGGGCCCAACCAAGCAGTTGCCTAGTGTCAAAATCATCTATCCCAATGAACTGGCAAAGAAGATGACCAAATGCAGCAAGACCCACCAAGGGCCGGTCATCATCGATTGCCGGCCCTTCATGGAATACAACAAGAGCCACATCCAAGGAGCTGTCCACATCAATTGCTCTGACAAGATCAGCCGGCGAAGGCTTCAGCAGGGCAAGATTACCGTCTTGGACTTGATCTCTTGCCGGGAAGGCAAGGATTCCTTCAAGAGGATCTTTTCCAAAGAAATAGTTGTTTATGACGAGAATACCAATGAGCCAAGCAGAGTCATACCTTCGCAGCCATTGCACATAGTGCTGGAGTCTCTCAAGCGAGAAGGCAAGGAGCCACTGGTTCTCAAAGGTATTTATGACCCATATTCTGCTGCCTTTCTTCTCTCCTTTTCTAGGGATGCAGCGATTTGCCGGGCCACTGGGAAGGCAAAGCTCTGCATGTTCTTGTCGAGATAGTTCAGGATCTCTTGATGCAGGAGGACTTGAAAAAGGAAGGATGTGGTCTTGGTGCCTTTTTCCGTTTCTTAATAGGGTTGTGAGTTTAAGGTTAATCCAAAAGCTAGTGGACGGAGTGCCTTTCCTTGGGATTAATGCTCACAATGTGGTATGCAAACTTCTAGCTTTTGCGGGATTCATCCTGGGCTTGATATTTTTCTTAATAGAGATTGGAGAGGCATTTGGTTAAGCCTGTTGTATATTTTCTTTCAGTCTTAATGGTGGTAACTGTTAGAACCATGCCTTCATCAAAAGCTGGTGGGTTAAGTGGAGGCGCATTAGCCTACAGAAACAGATGAGGACATCCTATTTGGAAATGCGAAAAACCCTAAAGAATCAGCAACTGTCCTTGGCACTTAAATTCTCAGGTCCCATGCAAAAATAAACCACGATAACTTTCATGTTAGCAAAGCTGGAGATGAATGTTGGGAAATGTTCTAGGTCCAGAATAATTAGAAGGCAAATTAGGTAGCATCAGTGAATCTAGGGGCAGGAGTAGAGCTTGACCTTGACGAGAACTACACTGAAGACTGATGAGTCTCTTGTGAGCCACTTCACAGCATGAGCTCAAAGAGGAAGAAGAGCAAGTGACTGAAACTTCCTGCTTCCTTGTTTACTTTTGAACATGGAAGTGGAAAGCTCTGAAAGCTATGGGACCCAGGTAGCTTATGGAGATCATGGGTCTTGAAGCTAGTAAGATGAGTTCTGCTCACTGTGCTGTGGAGGTAGTGCAAGTCAACTACAGTTCTCTTTTTTTGCCATTTTCTAGTAACATATGAAATAGAGTGACTTTGAAATGGTATGATGGAATAGAGTTCCTAAAAGGTAATATAGATGAGATGGCCCTCTTATGGAAATGGTTATTGATCTAATTGGCCCAGCAACCTGAACACCTTTACAGTACATGGCTATGAAGCTTCATTAATGCAATGGAATTGTGAGTGTGTATTTAGGATTGCCTGTTCGTGGGCTTAGCTTTGTGTTGGACAACACTGGTAACTACTACAGTAAACTGTTACCAGTAATTAAAGTAATTGTGTGCCTTTTTTTTGTTTTGTTCATGTATTAACTAGACCTAATTAGCATCCATGTTTTACTTTAGTGAGCCATGAAGGTTAGCTATGACTTTGCGTGTGCATACAGCAACCGAGAACTGCATTAATCTATTGACAGAATGTGGTTTTAGACAAATGTCATGCAATAAAACAAGGTGATTGTGATTGAGAAACTTAACCACTAGAACGTCATTTGCAAGAATAGGTGATCATAGATCCAGTGTTATAGAGTTATGGTCACTAGTGTGGCACTTGTGGGAGCAACAGTGCCTTTGAGGACATCTCCTGTTGCTTCTGAAGCCTCTGAGCCCCTCCTCGCTGACCCCTTTGTAATGAGTTGGTGAGGGCAGGGTACCTTTTTCTTTCCTTTGAAAAGTGCATAGAACGGAAGGAGGAAGTTTAAAGAAGAAATGTTCTCTACTTCCTCTTTCAGATCAATATGCTTCTCAAAACTCAGATTGTTACATGAGCAGCTGAAAAGAAAGTATAGTGAGTAAGCGGGTAGACAGGATAGTGGGAAGAAGAGGGTGCCACAAGATTTGGAAGACAGACTGGAGAGAGAAAGAGAAGGTTGTGGTGGGGCCCATACACATACCACCACATGATCCTCATGAAATTGCATCATTTGTAAAGGGTTCTTCCCTGCATCAGATTATATCTGTCTTTTGACTGAAGGTAAAAGAATCAGTACTGCCATGTTTATTTTTATGTCTGTTTTAAATGATCTTATCTATTACACATTTTTTTAATTATGTACACCATACAGACTTTGGTAATTAAGCAGTATATAAGTAGCCTAAATAAATGATGTGAAAACATGGGTTTGAGGCACAGATGGTATGATGCTCATAATTTTGCAAAGGTTCCACTCAAAGCTAGTACCAAATCATAGGTCACATCTGTGTCCACAGATGTGTTCTGTGATTTGGTGGTTTTGTTGTCATCCTGTGTACAAGTCATGATCTGTGCCTTGCGTCAATGTATTTGTGGTGCTGGCAAGCACCTAAGCAAATTTTTGTACGGAGCAGTCTACCAGTGTAATCTTTAATTTGGTGATGTTTCGGGGGGCCTGCGATAAATTCATGCATATTCTGTAAAATCCATTTTAATTCTAGTGGATCCAGCTTTTACCCAGACCCCATGGGAAAAGCAAATAATCTATATGTGTGTGTTGGCTTTCTCTCTTTTTGTCAGGGTGGTGGGTGTGATCCAGGGAAAGGGGGTAGGGAGAATCAACCAGAGGGGGTAGTTTCCATAGCACACCTCTCAAAATTCCAGAATATGTCCACAAACCCCCAAAAGGTTGGCAACTGCTGGACTAGATAACCAAAAAACTAGAGGCTGAAAATCTGATTCACCCGATGGTCTCAGCATTCTTTAGGGAGAAGCCACAGTTTCTTAGCAGAGCACATGTTGGCACTAGGGAGGTCCTATATCAACCATTAGCATCTCTTTTTAAACCAGAGTTGGGGAACCTGTGGCCCTGCAGATGTTGTGGGCTACAACATGCACCAACCCTGAATGCTGCACATGCTGGCTGGGGCTGATGGGACTTGAATAGGAAGACTCTGGTTTAAATTCCCACTCAGTAATGATACTCCCAGGGTGACCTTGGGCCGGTCACTATCTTAGGATCTGACTCATCTCACTCAGAACCATGTATGCTACCATGACTTTATAGCAGAAAAGTTGGGATTTGAATATAATAATTTATTTTAATTCTTTCATGGGGAGGAAAAGTAATAGGTCGTTTAATGAAAACCACAATCTCCAGCTTCTGACTTGCTTTGATTGAAGTATGATGGCCCACCTGTAGGCAATCAGAAAGGTAGGGGGCATGGCATCATTTCCCCTGTAATATGAGAGCTGCATCACACACTGGGGAAGAACTTTACTTGGTGGTAAAGTGCGTGATTTGCATGCAGAAGGTCTGGCATCCAATCCCTGGCATCTCCAGATAGGCCTTGGGAAGACCTTGGCCTGAGATCTTGGAGAGATGCAACCAAGCAGAGCAGACCAGAGCAGAGCAGTAGATGGACCAGTTTTCAATTACTTGCCCTGCCCTGCCTTCTGGAGGAATATGTGTAGGCTCAGCATAAGTAGGAAGGGGTGCGGGGAAGAACTGGTGAGGTGGCTTTGTTACAGATGAAGCCTGACTGTTGCATTCACTGAAAAGAAGTGGGATGGCGTTCTGCACCACTTTAAGCGCTAATAAATGGGTGGTGATAAACAGGTGCTTAACAGACAGCTTAATCTCTTGGAGGACATGGTTGCACTTACTGTTAAGTTGTGGTTTGCACACAATATAGTCCAACAGCTAACACCACTCTCCTTATATTCTGAAGACCTGCCAAATTAAGTCCATCACGCAGATATTTTAAATAATATAATAATGATTTTTTTAAATTTATACCCAGCCCATCTGGATGGGTTTCCCCAGCCACTCTGGGTGGCTTAAAGCACATAAAAAATGTAAAATGTTAGACATTAAAAACTTCCCAACACAGGGTTGCCTTCAGATGTCTTCTAAAAGTCAGACCGTTGTTTATTTCCTTGACATTAGAAGGGAGGGCGTTCCACAGAGTAGGCACCACTGTGAGAAGGCCCTCTACCTGGTTTCCTGTAACCTCGCTTCTCGCAGTGGGGGAGCCGCCAGAAGGCCCTCGGAGCTGGACCTCCGTTTCTGGGCTGAACTATGTCCCCATCATTTCCACCTTGCGTTCCATGACAGAAGAAAGGTGAGGGTATAAATGTACTAAACAGATAAACAACATGAAGAAGGTATATGTGGAATGTAAATTGTAGTGATAATTGCTGGAACTTATATTAACACCCCATTTGGACCTCCTGCCCTCATACAGACTCATGAAATCCTTTGTATCACCTGAGGAAATTCTACTCAAAGTGGTGACCTGTTTTTAGGGTATGTTTCTGCTATAATGATATATTGTTTGGTGTTTTAGACTCTATGCCACTTAGAGGTTTCTGAAACATTAAGTGGTGCATGAATGTTTTTAAATGGCTAGTTACTGTATTTGTGTATAAAACCAACATGTGAAGAGGGGGACTGAGTAGCCGCACCCTCGAGTAGCTCCTCCTCCTGGTGTCCATACATACAGTGTGACGGTCTTCAGTGACACGGCTTTGCATCCATATTCCATATGCACAAAGACTTCTATGCACTTCATCTGGAACACAGAGCCACCAGCAGGATGGGCTCCTTTGCACAGGTAGATATCTGGAGTGCAGCTACTTGGGAATGATCCCGTTTAGATATGTTTTAGATGTGAATATCATCTGAGTAGCACAATAATAATTTTATTGTTCTATGTGCACCTTTAGCTTATGGTGAATCACTAAGACTATCTATTGAGAACAGAGATTATAGAGAAATAATCCATCTCAAATTACCGTCTCTGCTAGCAATCTTGAGACTATAGGAATTGTGAAAGGACACACACAGGGACACAAATTCAAAAATCCATGACTTAGTGCACTGCTGGAATTCTGCCTTAACTATTAGAAAACGGGGGTCTAATAGAACAGTGAATATGTGTATGTGATGGTTGAAATATGACAGGTAGTCCTTAGGAATGAAGTCCCCGGAGTTTCAAAGGCTTAGGTTGCCTCTTAGTCCTTGATTGCATCATTTGGGAGGGAAAAGAATCCTCACAATGTCACCCAGCAAACGCTGTTCTGGCCCTGCTCTGAAGCTGGGAGTTTTAAAATTAGCCAAAAGCACTTAGCCGCTTGATCTAAAGAAGCTTTAGAAGAAAAGATTAATTTTTTTCTCCCCTTC